AAATCCAAGAGTATTTTTATCATGTTGTGCTAAGATTAGCAAGCTTTTCCCAATTACTTTGATAAAGCCAAAGATTAGTTCAAATCTTACGCTTTTAATAAATGTACTTAGTTGCAAGCAGCAAGCCCCCATTTTATGATCTTTTAGATTTTTATATTATAGTATAATTTTTCAATATAACATTTATTTTAATTTTTGGAATCCAAATGTATATGTATTTTGACTTTTGAAACAATATTCCTAATTAATGCTTGTCTGTCTACCTACTTAAAAGGAAGAAAACCAAAGTGAAAGTTAGTGCTACTGAATGATGAAGCACTTTGGGGCTAGTCTCTTTCAAATTAAAAGACCGTTCTGCAGTGTCAAGCTGTTGAAGCAGAAGTTGCACTTCAATGAATTCATTTTGTTAACTGAAATGCTACTTAAATTGAAAAATGTATTTAGGTCATATCATGGATATTAGTGAATAGCTATGGAGCCGTAGCTTCCCCCTCTTGCCACATAGGCTGAAACTTCAGATAACTGCTGTAAAGCCTGTTAATTTTAAAATACTTTGATTGACTTGATATTTAATAACTGTATATCATTTGGTAAAAATTTGGCTAAAAAATCTGTAGTGTTTTCCAAAAACTATACCTTCTGTATATTGAGGTTTCAGGTAGTAATATTTTATAGTCATGGTAGGGAAAAATTATTTCAGTTTTTTCTGGGTATTTCATTACAAATTATGCATGCATGCACACACATGTAAGTGAATGGAGATGTTAGAGGACATTTGTAGATACATCTAATTTACTGAGTCACTACCAAAGATGGTTTCATGTTCTGGGATATACTAAAGTGTTTCTGAAAAGGACCGTACAAGATAGAACATTTTATCAGGAGTCTTACAAATAAAAATAAATTGTAAGTAGACATTTAAGAGTATTTGCATTTGAACTACACCAAACTATTTTTTTCTGTTTCAAATAATAGTTAGGTTTTTTGTCTTTTGTTAAGTATATGTATGAGGCAGCAGCTGAAGTCTGAGAATGAATACTAAGGTTTAAAGTAGTCATAGTTAATGCTTAAGTTGGATGAATGCTGTTGTTTATTAAATCTCGGTCGTAATTCGATTAACTGTAGAATGTAACAGTACTCAGGAAACTGTTCAGTAGAATTTGTTTTCTTAAAATAGTAACTTTTTTTTTAGTAAATGGTGAAAATGATATATACAAAAGTTCTGTTTACTCCTCTGTGTTTCAATTTTAAATTTAAATTAAACTAATCTTATATTATTCATCTGCTTCACTGAAACAGACATGACCTGTTCTTTGATATGAAATAAATGTCAAAAAGTTCTGCCTAGAGAAATTTAAAATACAGCAAAATTAGTTTTAGGACTAAAAAAGCCAGTATTGCAAAATACTCGTTGTCTGTTTACTTAAAACTCAAATATAGAGCAGAGAGGAAAATATATGGAGCAAAGTTTAAGCGTATGGCTCTATGTTTCACTAGCTAGGCCTAGGAAGTCTCTGGTAAGTTCTTTCTTACACTGTCTTAAACTCTCTTATACTTTAATGCGGATCTCTAATGGGAAATTGTTATAGCATGGAACATTTTCTTTGATTATGTAATTTTCTTACAAATTCCGTAGTACAGTACCTTAGTTTTCATAATGAAAGTAATTTTCTTTTGACAGTTTGGGTTACTGTAGAATTACAAAGGCTGTCTGTGGGTGAGATTTAATTTAATGCCCTGAGTATTTAAGAAGCATTCCTGAGACTGTCACCAAAAAGTGACAAGATTAGCACTTGCATTTATTGACAGGATGACTTGTGGGAAAGGGTGTTGTTTTTTAAAAAGGAATAAAGTCTGTCGTAAGTTCTGGCAATGTACACACTTTATGAAATAGAGAAAGAATGGAGCAGTTGCTTTTCATACAACTCATGGCACGTGGAAATAGCAGTCTGCAGGGGTAAGAATTACACGTTGACAAAACTACACAGTAACTGATTTCCTATCAGATAAAAATATAAGTGTTAGGGGATAAGAAAGTCATGACAGTCCCTGTCATAAATTGAATTCAGACATGCTCAAAAGTAGGTAATTATTCAGAAATAGAATTGCATCTTTACATATATGCCTGTACCCAAATATATGCTGTAGAATGACAGAGGTTACCAGATTGTTTGTTGTTCTTTCTGGATTTAAAAAACCCAGGAAGAACTAAATCATATCTTGTGTTCCAAGATTTTAACATGTGAGAATGCTCAATCTCTTTGTCTCCTCTAATCTTTTTGAGAAAACTCTTTGTGGTTAACTGGTAGTAAAATCTTGTCTGCATTAGCAGATCTTTACTAATCCTGTGCCCATCCCAACAAACAAACAAATACTCTGTGGTAGTGATCTACTTCTGCATACCCCGGTGTGGTCCTGTTCCCATCAAAGTATTCCCTTCAGATTTATATAGCACAAATAGAAGAATAATCAGATCCTTTCCTCTTATTTTATCTATGGACTACGCATTGAATGACTGATTTTAAAGCAGCTGTGATTCAATGGGGATGTTTTTAATTTGCTGCCTGTTCTCTTTACCTCTGAGGAAAGAATTCTGTAAATGCTGAATAATTTTAGAACATGTTTTCTTGGTTAAGGGTTGGATCATATTTAAATTAGTTTTAAGAGGAAGGAAATCGTGTAAATGCTATGGAATTCAGATAAGCACTGTGCATAGGAAATAAGTGCTTTAATTTAGGGTGCCCAGAACTGGTAGGTCAAGCTGATGATAATAAAGGACCAGATCTTAACTTTGCTTCAAAGAACATGTAATCAATATTCACTCTCCTGTTTTATTTCCTTTTTGCTTGAAAATTTATTTTGGTGAAGCTGAAATGTGCAGTTGCTGAAGTATTCCACAGGGTGTCATGCGGTAGTTGTTGGAATCACTAATACTTGGATGAAAGTAAAGAAACATACTGTGCAGTCCTCTCAATGCCAGTTAACGTAATTCTAGATGTGACTAATACACACGCCATAAAATAAAAAGTTCTTAACTCATTAACACATGTATCTTATTTCTGTATCTGTATAAAATATACAGAGAAAGAAAATATTTCAAGAGGTCATTTACAAGAGTGAGCTATTCTATGCCAGGTTTTCCCCAAAAACTTTTCTATATGTACTTTAGTATTTTCTAGTTTACAAAGAAATTGGAATCTTTGGGCCGTAGCAGTAATTTGACATACCAAACTACGTGTGTCTATATATATATATATATATATAAAGGTACAATGCTTGTATTTGCTGTACTATTATAAGGATTTTCTAACTGGAATGTGCTCCTCCAAATTTACTTTCAAATTTAATTTTCTTTAATTTTTATTTTTTTTAATTTAAATTTATTTTAAAAAACTTTATACAGTGCACAGAGCTGTACTGTGAGTTTTATTTTTTTGTTAATGATAGATATGTATAATGCCAAAACTTAACTTCAGACTTTTTTCCTGCACGTATATAATGTAGTAGGAGGAGAATTTTTACCAAAGTATGCTCCAAATTAAAGTGTATTTGATGACGGTGATACATTTTTGCATGTGGAAACCAAATTTTTATTGACATAACTGTTGACTTCTGCAGAGCTGCACATACATTGAATTCAGCTTCAGGTTTGTAAAAGAATCTTTAAATACAGTTTAACAGTATTTATGAAGGATCCTGCTTCTGTTAAAATCTGAATTGCTTTAAACTGAAAAGACATTGGCTGCAAGAAAAACTACTTTATGAAATGAACAGCGAATCTTCATTCATTTCAGTAGCAAAAGAACATGATCCAAAGTGTAAAATCACTGATGAAAATAAGAATTTGAATCTCTGTTGACAGTAACAATTTGTCAAATTTTAACAGTGTATTTAAAACCAGTTTTGAATAAATGATACCATATGAATTTAGGCATATTTTGTTGTGTTATATAAAGTGGCATACTAAAATAATATACTAGTTAATTTTCTTGTTACTATTTATTTGTGCTAATATTATGGAACAAATTTTGGTGTTATGCCAGTGGCATAATAGTGAGTGGCACTGAGACCGTAGGATACAGGGAGGTAGGTGCTTCTGACAGACAATTAATAAAATTTTATACATTTGACATACCTCATGTCTTCTCTGCATTATGCCCAGATCATAATGCCTTACAGCCATAGAAGGTGATTGCTGTGACAATCAGAAACTGAGTGCTTTTATTTAGATTCACTTCCAAAAGCCACGTGGTCCTGCAGATAATTTTTTTGTGCAAACCTTTTCTGACTTAATCACTAAAAATTATGACCTGTTTAACAAACCAGTGTGTTTATAGGTACCTTAGCAGTATGTTTAAATACTCAATAGAGGAAAAACTAGACCTGTTCAAAGCAGTTTTAATATCCAGAATAGAGTGACATACCTTAAATCTTCATGGAGATGAAGAAAGTGAATGGAAATTATGGCCTTTGGGTTGTTTTTTTTTGTTTCTGGGTTTGGCATTTTGAATTATAAGCATCCTGATCTCTGTCCGGGTGAGCTTCCTTTACAACAGGGCATCATGGAAGAAGGGCTTTTTAGATAGGTAGGTTGTTATCTTTCTTCTTCCTCAGTTTAAGGCTCACTGAACTTGCTTTGCTTCTCCCTTTCTTTATCCTGCTTATTGCAACTAGAATAATCTAAAGGGGTAATTCCACACATTGAATTACTGAGATAATGCAGTACCTTAAAGTTATGAATATCAGAAATATTTAAATAATAAAATACCTGACTGCACTGAGTTTTTTCATATGATTTATTATAAAATGATACTTTTAAACAAAAGAAAATAGAAAGGACAGAAGTTAATTGATATTATACCATGCAAAAGCTTGGCAATATACTGAGGCATATGTATCATATTTGTGATATGTATACATTCAGTTGATCCTACCACCCAAATCCCCCTTTGAATGTTAAGACAAGGTTGATGAATATTGTAATCTGTCTTCATTTTCAGATTGAAAATCTACAGGAGCAACTTAGGGACAAAGACAAACAACTAACTAATCTAAAAGACAGAGTGAAGTCATTGCAGACGGATTCTAGCAACACAGACACAGCACTAGCAACCTTAGAAGAAGCTCTGTCAGAAAAGGTAATGTGTTCTAATGGAACGGTGCTCTGTGCTGCTCTTGTGGGTGAAGCGTGTCCAGAAAATGTCTTTTTAAATTGGTCTGGCACCTGTAACAAAGCCTATAGGCCTTGTCAGGAAAGCAGATGGCTCTGTTCTGGTAGGATGAGCAAGGAGTGATTCCCGGCTGGTGAACTGAATCTGGACTCTGAGGAAAAGAAAGATGTAATTTTTAAATAGGGACGGAGTAAATGGCCCAGGGCATGAGAAGATTTTCTCTCAGTCAGTGGGATGAATGGTTATTCCCTGAAAGAACAACCTGACTTAAGGTAGAGTTTGGGGTATGTTTATGGCTTTGTGATCTGGAGTATCCTGTTCTTTTGTCTGTTAAGCAGAGCCTAACTGAAGAGCCAACAGGCAGGGACTCTACCAACCCTTACCATGGCTTGCTGTTAGCACTATTGGTTTCCTACACTTATTTTATAAGAGAAACTGTATTTCATTAAAAAAATTGAGAATTACTTTTTTTTTTCCTTTAAAATTATAGGCCTTTAGTTTGAAAATACCCAGCAGAAGGGCTAAATCTGGACTGTTTAAATTAGTGGCAACATTCTTACCAGTTTTAGTGAGGTCAGGGTTTTTCTTCCAGTTGATTTTGAATACGAGGTAATCCAAATGAATTTATATGCCAAAAAAATCAATACAAGTATCCACTTTTTACAAATCACAGATCTTAATGTGTATCACTTAAATATGCACAGGTGAGTGCAACTAATTAAAGTATTATGTGCTATTCTGCAGTGTGTAATCCTATGAAGATATTTGTGACTGTATATGACTTTAAAATGCCAGTGTGGTGTTGGCACTAACACCTAAAAAGCTAATGTTGGATTTTTTATTTCTTTGTATGTTTAACCACCTTACTAACATTTTCTTGGTCAACAACAGTGAAAAAAGTTGGCATTACTATTATCACAGAATCACAGAATATTAGGGGTTGGAAGGGACCTCTGTGGGTCATCTAGTCCAACCCTCCTGCCGAAGCAGGGTCACCTACAGCAGGCTGCACAGGACCTTGTCCAAGTGGGTCTTGAATATCTCCAGAGAAGGAGACTCCACAACCTTCCTGGGCAGCCTGTTCCAGTGCTCCATCACCCTCAGAGTGAAGAAGTTCTTCCTCATGTTCAGACGGAACTTCCTGTGTTTCAGTTTGTGCCCATTGCCCCTTGTCCTGTCGCTGGGCACCACTGAAAAGAGTCTGGCCCCATCCTCCTGATGCCCACCCTTCAGATATTTGTTAGCATTTATAAGGCCCCCTCGCAGCCTTCTCTTCTTCAGGCTGAACAAGCCCAGCTCCCTCAGCCTCTCCTCGTAGGAGAGATGTTCCAGTCCCCTCACCATCCTTGTAGCCCTCCGCTGGACTCTCTCCAGTAGCTCTTCATCTTTTTTTGAAGTAGGGAGCCCAGAACTGGACAGAGTACTCCAGATGAGGCCTCACTAGGGCAGAGCAGAGAGGAAGGAGAACCTCCCTCGACCTGCTGGCCACACTCCTCTTGATGCACCCCAGGATGCCATTGGCTTTCTTGGCAGCCAGGGCACCCTGCTGGCTCATGGTTAACCTGTTGTCCACCAGCACACCCAGGTCCCTCTCTGCAGAGCTGCTCTTCAGCAGTTCCGCCCCAAACCTGTACTTCTGTGGCTTCATATGGGTAATTGTGCTTACAGCATTTATGCGGTAAAGAAAGTTACACATTTTGTTCATCTTTCACTGCTAATCTGGATGCAGTGCTCACCCATCTCACAGCATATTATTAAAAAATGACACAAAGTACTTTTTAATCTGTTTTTCCTCCTTGTAAACTATCTTTTCTGGATTAGTCTATGTTGTCACTTTCCCAAAATGCCTGTAGAGGCAGCTGACAGTTTAAAATGGTCCTTTAACAATCATGCTACTGTTGTCAATGTAGAAAGCAGAGTGAGTGTCACACTGCAAACTTGCCAGTTCTCCTGTGCAACTGAGCATGAAGTAGATTGTCAAAAGCCAAAGAAATCTTGTATCCCATTTGCTGCCTCAGTATTATCTGCAGATATCTTCAGAGAAAATGCACTTATGCAATACTTCTTAGCTGGGGTAATTTGCTAAGTTGCAATCTGTCTTCAATTTTAATGTTAGTTCTGTGTTGAAAATATTATATTAATGGCAGTTTGCCAGGGCTCATAGCAGAAGCAGCTAGAATGGAGGCATGGAATAATCATATATAATATTCTTCTCACTACCAGAAATAAAAAAGAGTAAGAAGTACTAGATTAAAACCTAATCCAAATTAATGAGTGGTAATTAGTTGTTTTCAAGTCATTTTGTACCAGTACCATTCTAAAATCTGTTGAAATAAATACAAACTAATAAATAAATGTAAAAGGTTTTATAATTTTGCAAAAGTTTTGTATGCATCTGAAAATAAAATATTCTATTATTGTCAGACATAAAAACTGTAAAATTTTACTCAACTCAGGATGCTCCATTATTTTTGAATGTCGTAGTGAGGATTTGTCCCAGAGTTTGTTTAATAATTGTGCTATAGAATTTCTTTGTGTATGTGATAACTTGAAATGGGACAACACTAGAGACCCTGATGGATATTTTGCGTCAAGCTTTATTTGATTGCTGTCATTAAGGTTGAAGTCTGATAAATGATTCTAGTTTTAATGTTTTGGAAAGTTTAGATAAACTTAGATGCTTCTCTGAAACGTGTTTTTGCAATTCATGTCTACTTCATATGGAATTGCATGGATGTATATGAATTTTAAAAGAATCGGTGTGATTGGTGGTTTTTCCAAGTGGAATTGATTAGCACTCACATGGGATCCCTAAGGTTGAGTTCTGTATAAAGTAGTGACTTTGCTTACATACAGTCAACTGAGAATGGCGTCTTTCCTGCAGTGTTTGCAGGCTACTCCGAGACATGTATATGACAAATACCATGGGATGTTTTCCTCTGCCACAGAGATTTCTGTGTTTTTGCGGCTGATGAAGGTGATTGTATCTTTTGTAAGCCAGTGCTTTTGAGAAGTGTCTTGAAGCTGAGTTGTGCTGTGGTTTCTGGTGACCGTTTCAATTGCTTATGGAGAGACTGTTACAAGAGTTAGGTGGCACTATATAAAGGGAAGTACTCTATACATTAGTGATAGGCTTGCCATTCTATATTACTTCAGAAGTGCTACTTTGTTAATTTAAGGAAAATAGGCACATAATTATTAAATAACAGCCTTTTTCTACAAGTGAGCTTTGCAACTTTTAATGTGTGACCCGTCACTCTGGGTGATTTCCCACTACTGGGAAATCTTTTAGAGTTGAGGAATGATTAGTATATTAGATAAAAAACAGAGGAGAAAAGCAACATTGCAGAGCAGAATTAACATGAGGTTTTGATAAACAGGGTACTTAGAGCGATAGACCCGATGAGGAGGAAGGTTCCAAGGTGAAAGCATCTCTTTGTATGATTTTCATTGTTTATTGTGCAGAGAAATTGTGCACAATTTCTTTCCCATTGTAAGTTTTGATGCAGTGAAAAGCCAGACTTGAAGACTCAGTAGTCAGAAGGCCACACCTTCAAGGGTAGGTTACTCAATCTTAAGTGTAGTCTCTGGGATGTACTTACACATTGAAAGAAGCCAGTCGGCATCTTCTAGAAGTTCCAAATGAACTACTCTGTCGAGCTCTCTTGTGTCTTCTGGCAGCTTAATACCTTGACAAGTTTATGTATACATATGTGTCTTACTCCTGTTTGTGTACAGCTTTCTGATTCATCCTAGCTGCTCTCAGTGAGTAACCTTTGTTGTCCCGGATCCTGTCTGCAGTAGCATTCTTAAGACCTACAGCCTTTATCAATAGTTACTGACTTTTCCCACTGCGAATACTGGTAGAAATGTGGAATAGATTTTTGTCCAAATGGGACAAAACAAGAACTCTTAGTGATAGTTGCGTTGCAATAAACAAAAAATTAATTTACTCCTAATAAAAGTTTGAACATTAGACTATGCAAAACTCCTATCAGCTTCCTTGATGTTTTAACAAGAAACTTTTCAGAGAATATCTCAGCTCTTGGACTGGTCCAAAGCAGCTCAAGAGGTTGCTTTCATGAAGCTGATATTTATAAAGTTGGTCCTACTGTAGCAGCATACAGCAGATAAGCAACTGAGTATGTCTGATAATAGAGCTATATGCTGTGGCAATTCAGTTCCTGCTTCTGTGATGAAGTGCAAATAGATTAGACCTGTGAGGTCCTAGATTAGTGCATATGGAAAGCTTGCCAATGCAAATAAGACTGAAACAAGAACACATTGTTGGGATATCCGCAAGTTAGCTGTTAATCAAGTAAAACATGGTATATTAGGCCCTTTTAACACATTTTTGACATTTAGCCTTATGCAGCTGACAGATAAATTAGTCTTCTTTTGTGATTGACTGAGAAAAAAAATGTATACTGTTCATTAATAAGATGAAATAGTGTTATGTTTAATTTGTTACAGGAGAAAAAAAAAGTCATTTAGGTAAATAAATCTTCAAGAAAGATTTGGTATAAAACTGAGTCTGAATATAACTGGGTGGATTCTGAATGGCTGTTAAACTATTCCACATAGTGTAGGCTGGCATTTTAACGTTAATATTCAAAAGATTTAGAATTAATATTATTTGTTACTAGGAATAAACTTGAAGTTATTTAGTATCCCATATCATCCCTTTCTTGCACAATCTATATAGCCAAAGCCAACTAATAGTAAAATTAAAAAAACCCACCTAAAACCTAGTCCATTTGCTGCTGGTTTGCCATTTCTGTAATACTCAACAGTGTTGCTGTTGAAGGACCTTTATTCTGTATGAACACATTTCTGCCTGAAATCCTGCCAGGTATGAGTCAAAGGAAGCTGTTGCTGTTGGGCTGGGTGCAGTCAGGAGTCGCATACAGTTCCAGGGGTCTTGGTGCGTAGGCAGCTGGTACTGTTTTGGAAACAGGTTACATTACAGGTAGCCTGCTACCTTTAGTTTTGACCATATCTTTTTTAGTGTGTGCTAAGTGGAACGTAGTATGTCATCGATGTGTATTTATTTCTGAATGAAATAAGTAGGGATACAAGTTCTGTATGAGTAGTTGTTTTGGTTTCGGCTGCCGCCGGCAACAAAAGCGCCACGCGG